AGATATAGATATAGATAGATAGATAGATGAGCGACCATTCATTCTGTCAAGATTCTTCCTGGGGAGAGGGAGAAGTGGGAGTCACTCTTTCAAAGCCCCCTTTTATTCAGCCCACCCCACCCCAAATCATCAAGTGGGAGGAAAAAGGAGGGAGAAAGGGGGAGTCAAGGGACCTCCCCTTCAGTCGGACTACAGTGGGACAAGGCCCTTTAACGGTGGGTTGTTTGAGGGCACGAAAGGGGGTGTGAGGGCAGTGCTGGGCTCCCCACAGTGTCTGTGTGGAAATAAGGAGGGTTTAAAAAGGCAATAATGCCAGGAGGGTGGGTGAGAGAGAGAGAGAGAGAGAGAGTCAAAACAACCCTCACAGAATGCCCCTCCTTTTCCCGCCAAGCAGCCAACGGTGTTCCCCTCCCCCATAGTACCTCTGGCTAACAAATGGTGGGAGCAGGAGAGCAGCTGTTGCTGGAGGGGGTGGGGCCAGGCCCCACCCCCTCCTGGCTCTTGGTTCTTGAGGCTCCTGGGGTGGGTTCCCCTCAGGCTGGTCTCACTATTTCTGCGGAGTCCATGATCATCGCCACCCTGAGGTTTTTGGAGTGTGTGTGAGAGGAGGAACCCCTACTGCCCTTTTAACAGGGGGTTGTTTCCACGGCTTTATAGGCCCTTTCCGACTTCATGATTCTACTGTATTCTATAATGGTGCCAAGGGAGGAAGTGGAGAGAAGGTGGGGAGCAGTCGTCCCAGTGAAGCTTCATCTTGAGGTGAGGAAAGGAGGCATGAGAGAAGGGAAGGCGGATTAGAGAGGGAAGGGCTTGACTAGAAAGAGGAAGTTGAGGAAAAGGGACCATGAGAGAGACCTTTGGGGAATGGAGATTTCCATTATCCAGGAGCTCCTAGGACTGGATCCTGAAAACTGTGGGTCAGACCCACAAGAAGGGGAGCAAATGCCCCTGTTGTCAGTTTCACCAGACCCACCATTAATGATTTCTCCTTGGAGAAAGGTTTGGGACCGTTCAATGTTGACATTACCAGCCCATTTCTGGAACAAGAATTCAACCCTTTCCTTGAGCGGTTGTATGAGAAAGTGAGACTGTTTTGTACCTGTTGAAGTTAACTATTTTCTAGATTTACATGAAATAAATGTTGTTTATAAATGAATAAATGAAATAAATACTTTGGCCATCTCATGAGAAGACTACCTGGAAAATACCCTGATATTGGGAAAGTGTGAAGGAAAGAGGAGAAGGGGACAACAGAGGACGAGATGGTTGGACAGGGTCACCGAAGCAACCAACATGAATTTGACCCAACTCCGGGAGGCAGTGGAAGACAGGAGGGCCTGGTGTGCTCTGGTCCATGGGGTCACGAAGAGTCAGGCACGACTTAACGACTGAAAAACAACAAATTGTTGTTGAGACCCAAGCATGTGTCACAGGTGTCTCACCCCAAGAGCATACCAAAAGGCATTTTACATTTAGGTGAGGAGAAACCCTCACAGCAAAGAGAGGGGACACATCACTCACCTACTGGATCATTAAATTATATCTTAATTATTTTTGTGGTTCATGACGTCTTGCTTTGCAACATCCCTTAACATTGGTCCTGCCATTTCCATTTCTGCTTCTGTCCCCACTTCTCCTTTCTTTCCATCATCATCTCATCTTCCTCTTCCTCTTTTGGTCTCTTAATCTCTTCCCCACCCCCACCCCCATTGCAGTCTATGTTCACCCTTTTTCTTGGACTTCCATGGACTAAGATTTCTGAAAGGATGTTTTTAGGGGACATGGAGGCCAGCAAAAAACATGGTAAATTCAAGGTCAATAGGGGACACACACACACACACACACACACACACACACCGCTCCCTGCTATTCTGATCTCCTAGCAAAGGGTTGCAGTGTGGGAGGAAGCTTTCTTTTGAAATAGGGAATGAACGGAAGCCTGAAGAATATTTATTTTTATTTATTTATTTGTTACCTTTATATCCTGCCCATCTAGTGCCTGGGCACGACCCTTGGAACCTAATAACCATCAAATTACAGCTGCCCAATCCCACCCCACCCCACAAAGGTGTAAATGAAGATAACCAAAAACCATTAAAAACCCAGAATGGCCAAAAAAGAAGCAAACCTGGATGGCAGCTCAAAAATCTCATCTCCAGTTCTGTTCATGGGCCCATGGGAAACCAGTGGTGGAGAAAAAGGGGACCTCCTCCTCCCCCACCCGTTCCTTATGTGGTTCCTTTGCTTCCCATTCAATTTTATGGTCTTCTGCAGGAGAGAGGCAGGAGTTTGATTGGAGGGGGAGGCGTCACCAAAACTAGAGCTTTTGAAAGACTTGTAATTTCTCCTCCTTCACCTGAAATTGTCATCCTTTTCTTGAGGAATCCAGACTTGTTCTCCCATTGCAAAGCTTCACCCACTGTTGCCCCCCCCCCGCCCCACTATTCCATGAATTCCAATCTGATCCAGATTACAAAGCTTCCCTGCCCCCATTTGAATTCCTTCTTATTCTCCCCCCTTCCCTCCCTGTTCTTTTGTGAGCCACCTTTCTATTCCCCCCTTTCTTCTCTCTGGAGAAAGATGGTTTTGCAAACGCATGGCTAATGGACCACCTCGAAGAGCACTTCCGGTGAGATCCAGATCCCTCCCAGTTTTTGCAAGGTAGGTAAGACGCAGCCCCACCGGAGAGGAACAGAGACAAAAGCGCGTCCCATGTTAGTAAAACTTCTTTTAAAATTTTCTTAAGAGGTGTATGACTAAGAATGGGACTCTCAAAGAGCTATTTATACATACTACCAGGATTGTGACAGACTGACCACCCTATTTCATAGTAAAATGATCACTCGAAATGTATCCTTAGAAGTTTACTCAGTTATAATCTGTAGTTACAATCAGAAGAAAAAGCATATGGTGTGTGAAGTGTCAAGACAATGAAACTAATGTAGAATCATAGAAAAGTGAAGTTGGAAGGGGCTTACAAGGCCATCAAGTCCAACCCCCCTGCTCAGTGCAGGAATACAATAAAAGGTAAGGACATCTGTTACATTTCCTGTTCAACACGCGTCATATGACTGAGTAAGCAAATGGCTATCATATGCTTTACCTTAGCTTCCAACAAGTTACTTCTAAATTTCTCTTTATGTTTTCTTTCCCTACTACCTCTGCAGAGTTCATTATTTTCTCCTGGAGGTAGGGAAAAATGCTCAGACTATGGGGAAAAATGTTTGTATTCGTACCCTTATGGATTTTGCAAATGTGACGTTGTAACTCCTATGATATAAGGGTTCGACCTTAAAAGGATTGGACTAAGAAAGAGCAGGGCTGTAAGTAACTGATTTTTGAATCAGAAACACTCCTGTTGCCAATTTGGTTTCGGTATAATTCCCAGATGTTAATTCGTTGGCACAGTGCCTACTCGTGTCAGAACAGTGAACAGATGTCTGAAGGCTGTTCATTGTTCTGACACTGTGGCCAACTGCCAAAATCGAGGTAGGCAGTCCAGCTGGCCCTCCACTCTGAAGTTTGTGCTCCTGAACGCCAGGTCTGTATCTAATAAATCCCAGCTTATACAAGATCTTATTCTGGATGAGGATGCAGACCTGGCGTGTATAACCGAGACCTGGATGGGTGGAGAAGGAGGGGTCCCTCTGACCCTTTCCTGCCCTCCGGGTTATGCAGTGCAGCACCAGGGCAGACTGGAGGGGCGGGGGGGGAGTTGCCATTGTTTATAGAAAATCATTAGAGGTTACCAGGTGCTCCTCGGTAGTGAGGCCGGGTCTGGAGGCTCTCCACGTGTGGATTGGGGCCAGGGATGGTATTGGGATTTTGTTGGGTTACCGCGCTCCCCGCGACCCAGCCACCTCCCTACCAGAGCTGGCAGACTTCGTCTCCGTGGCACTGTTGCAGTCCCTGAGACTTTTGGTCCTGGCTGACTTCAACATCCATGTGGATGCGGAGGTATCCAGGCCAGCTCTTGAGTTCTTGGAAACCATGGCTTTCTTGAACTTGTCCCAACATGTAAGGTGATGGATCCGACTGAAGCTCTTCCCACATTCCGTGCACTTGTATGGTTTCTCTCCTGTGTGAGTTCTTAGATGTAAACTAAGGTGATGGTTCTGACCGAAGCTCTCCCCACATTGCACACATTGATAGGGTTTCTCCCCAGTGTGTGTCCTCTGATGAATAGAAAGGATGCTGCTTTGGCTGAAGCTCCTTCCGCATTCCATGCACTTAAAAGGTTTCTCCCCAGTGTGAGTTCTAAGATGTGAACTAAGTGTATTGCGGTGACTGAAGCTTTTCTCACATTCCATGCATTGATAGGGTTTCTCTTCCGTGTGGATTCTCATATGGGAAGCCAGGTGTGAGCTCTGTCTGAAGCTCTTCCCACATTCCAAGCAGAGAAATGGCTTCTCGCCTCTGTGGATTCTCATGTGGGAAGCAAGATTTCCACTCTGCGTGAAGCCCTTTCCACATTCCAAGCACTGAAACGGTTTCTCCACTGTGTGGATGCTTGGATGGGAGAAAAGTGGACCACTCTGACCAAAGCTCCTTCCTTCTTCCAAACTTTTCAGCATCTCCTTTGATGTATGGAATTGGTGATGGGAAGCAAGGCGTCTCCTACGCTGGACCGTCTTGCTGCATTTTAAGGGTTCTTTCTGCTTTTTAGCCATGACGGCACCAAAAAACATGGCACCTTCTTCTTCCTCACTCCTCTTCTCTCTTGTACTCATAGCTGAAATGAGAAAAAAAAATCAAACTGGAACCTAAGTAGAAAATTAGTCCCAATGCTGGGAGCAACACTATGTAGGAGACTGGAAGGGGAGAAAATTCTTATGCACATGATTTCCCCCATGATCCTATTTGTAAGATTGGTTTTATTGTCCCAAGAGGGCAGAAAGACAAAGCTCACCCACAGATATCAGACTGGCTACATTTGCCTCCATGACGTCTCGGTGCAGAGCCCTCTGGCCTTCATTCAGTAGAGCCCACTCCTCTTCCATGAAATGGACAACAATATCTTCAGAGGTCACCAGGACACCCTGAGAGAAGGGGAACTATTAAAGATTCAAGCAGAAAATCTGTTATTCTTTACTATAAATAATGGTGTGCCCTCAAATCAGCTCTGACTTATGGTGACTCATTTCAGAGTGTCCTACAAAGATAATACAGAAAAGTGGTTTACAATTCCGGTCTTCCAGTGGTGCCCTAGTACTTGCCCAAGTCAACCTACGCTAGCTCTTCACCCTGAAGGCAGAGAGGGGAATCCAACTCCCATCCTCTGGCCCCACAGCCAAAGATCTATAACACAACGAGCGATCTGTACTTTGCTATACAGAACAAAACTGAGCAATTCATGCAACAGACACTTAAGCTCAAGCTGTCACTGATAGTACTCTCAACGTCCTTAACAGGCAACTTGGACAAAAGGAAACAAGAAAGGAGAGGTACCTTCGAGCTCCGAGACATTTTCGAGGGAGGAAAGCACCCGACACTGCTGCAGCAGCTTGTTCCAGCCAGATCCGCTTCTAAAGGAGCTGTTCCCACTTCTCCAAAAAGAGTTGAACAAGGGTAACTTTCCAACATCATTCCAATACCTGAAGGAAGGTCAAGAGAGTGCAAAAATATTAAATTTTTCAGAGATGTTATATACTGGCCCAAGAGAAAGATCTTTTTGGATTTACCAAAACTTTAAATTCTATATAGGTGGGGGTGAGATGGGCTCAAAGAGAATGAGGAAAGAATTCAGCTGAGGTCAACTTTCTCCTCAATCTCCAAAGTAGATAACAAAGCCCAAGATGCAGAAAAAGGCACTCAACGTGATGAGTAGAGGACATGGTTTTTGCCCCAGGAATTACGAGAAGATATTCAGAGCATTCCCAGCCCTTTGGAATGAGCAGAACAAAACACTCATTTTTTCAGCAGCCGCACAAGCACCTCTTCCAACTTCTTCTCCTATGCTTCGCTCCAGAGGAAACCTTCTGTCAGGGACACCAGCTGGGAAGTGATTTCAGGTCTCCATTCCCTGCATCCCCTCTCACTTTCTTGGGTGGGAGGATAGCCAAGAACTGTTGGAGGGCAATCAAGCCCAGGAACCACAGCTTGAGCCACTGAGAGGAAATAACAGATGTTTGTGCATCTGAGCTCAAAGATAGAATTGTCTTTAGGATAATGCTATTCCACCATGTTGTCATTGGTGGGAAGGAACGGGACAGTAAAAAACAACAATTTATTTATTTATTTATTCTATTTATACCCCGCCTATCTGGTCGTTTCGATGACTATATCAAAGTTTTCTTTAGCATCTTTCATGGTTACAATGCATTTCAAACATATGATAATCACGGAAGAGGAATCTTAGGACGTAGTACCTGCAGTTCTAGAAAATAAAACAAAAGCCAAAAGCACTAGGAAGCACTGGGTTGACGGAATACCAGTAGGACTGCTTCATGCCACAGAGAATGTGAAAACCCTAACAAGAATACGCAAACAAATATGGAAAGCAGAACAACGCCCAAAGACTGGCAATGCTCAATTTACCTTCTAATCCCCAAGAAAGGGGATGCCAAGGAGTTCAGTCACTATAGGACTATTACTACAATTTCACATGCAAGCAAAGTGATGAGGGGTTGCAACAAAGATTTTTGCCTTCTCTGGAGTGGCAACTGCTGGAGGTTCAAACTGGATTCCGAAAAAGAAGAGGCACTGGAGATCATATCAGAAACATCGGTGGGCTACTGAAGTGCACCAAAAAATTTCAGAAGATGCTTTATATGCTGTCATGTTGATGATGTGATGGTGTTAGCCACCCAGAATGGTGTTTTACACTAATGGAGTGGTATACTAGTGAAGTGTGGCCGTATACAAGTGAAATAAAGAAACAATAAAGCCTTGGACTGGGTGATTGTAAGGTCCTTCTGAAAGAAATGGGTGTGCCTCAGGACTTGATTGTCCTGATGAGTAACTTGTATTGTGGACAAGAAGCTAATGGTAGGACAAAATGTGGAGAGAATGGTTTCTTATAGGCAAAGGTGTTAGACAAGGGAGCATTTTATCCCCTCATCTATTCAATCTGTATCCAGAACATATCATCTGGACAGCCAGACTAAATTCAGATGAAGGAGGAGAGAAAACTGATGGAAGAAACATCAATTATTACCGGCAGAACGCAGCAATGACTTGAAACAACTTTCAGGCACAGTGAAAGAAGAAAGTGCCAAAGGAGGGCTGTAGTTGACCATTTGGAAGACAACAATCACAACTCCCATGACCCCCAAAGAACAACACAACTTTCAGGCTGACAAAGAAGAACTTGAAATAGATGAAAGATTTTGTATATCTTGTTTCAATCAATCCCAGGGGAATCTGTTGGTAAGAAATTAAAAAAATGACACCTAGAAGGGCAGCAATGAAGGAATTAGAAAAGATCATCAAGTGTGAGGATATGCCGCTGGAGACCAAAGCCA